GGATGTTATCCATAAAATTTACTTGCTGTGGACTAAACAAGAAATGATACCTGTATTGTACTAAGTTTACTGTCAACTATTACAACATTTGTATTACAAAAAAAGTTTTTAATCATTGTACAGATGGTTTTGATTCAGTGGGAACATCGCATATAAAAGGAATGAAATACATCACTGCATCAAAGTAAAAGACAAAATGATAAAATCAGACCCTATAGCCTTGTCTCCTCTCTTCATATTTATCTGCCATCCGCATTCCGGCATGGCAACAGACATCTTTGCCTATTTTCGTCAATGTTGTTGACCAATGTCAGATGGCAACAAAATTTCTTTTTTTTTTTTTCCAAAATCAGGCCACACCAACTTAATTTTATGGATGACATCCACGCGTGCATTGATTTTCACCTGAGCTGTTCTCAAAAAAAAAATATCACGTCTTTCTAAGCTCTGTCCTGCATGGCTCTAGTCCCGGGTAGTCCATGGTAGTTGGCAACAATACGGAGCCAGTGGTAACTCTGGAGGATGGCACCCAGGCTACAGAAGCTCCACGACTCAAGAACTACGTACAGTGCCAATTCATAAATTCGGCTTGTCTTATACGTCGCTATGTACTGCAGTAAATTCACAATACCAGCTTTGTATTCCTAAATTGGTTTAGTAGCATTTTTATTTTTGGCCGGAATTTTTTTATTCGCCCCCATGCACTAGTTTGGGGGTCTTCAGAGGATGTCCATAAAATAAAGACGGTGTGGTCTTAGGCGAAAATTCATGCATGCGCTGATGTCATCCATAAAAATTACTTGCTGTGGCCTAACTGTTATAGTACGCATATTCCTGTGTGATTGAGTAAGTAGAAACACAATCTGGGAGCGGAAAAGTCCCGAGGCAAAACGCCTGTCTTTGAAGCCTGCTCTGTTACACATGAAAGGATAGAAGTAATGTTGAGCCTTCATGCTCTTGAAGACCAAAGCAATCTTCAAACACTTGGCTTTCATAACGTGCTTTGGAATCATGTTAGCTTAAGTTAACTTGCACACATCATCACTCAAACGAAGTAGAGTTACAAATAACAATGCCTACATGTAACTTGTTTTGCTATAATGGGGAATAAATTGGCCAAATTTAAAATTTCTTAACGAATCATTACCACAAAATCATTCAAAATTGATTCATAAAAATATATTAACCTCCATGACACATTTCATGTAGGTAAATATGAAGTACTAGAGAGTTACAAATAATTATGCCCACAAGTAACTTTCTTTGCTACATTTGTTACGTTGGGGAATATATTGGCCAAACTAAAATTTCTTAACCAATCATGACCACATAATCATTCAAAATTGCTTCATAAATATGGAGTCCTTAAAGTTACAAATAACAATGCCTACAAGTAACTTGCTTTGCTACATTTGTTACAATGGGGAATAAATTGGCCAAATTTAACAATTTCTTAACGAATTATTACCACATAACCATTCAAAATTGATTCCCAATTTGGAATACATAATATTGTGTACTTCGAGTTACAAATAACAAACCACAAGTAACTTGCTTTGCTACATTTGTTACGTTGGGAAATTCGCCAAACTTAACAATTTCTTAACGAATTATTACCACATAACCATTCAAAATTGATTCCTGAATTTGGAGTACATTGTGCACTTCGAGTTACAAATAACAAACCACAAGTAACTTGTTTTGCTACATCTGTTATGATGGGGAATAAACTGGCCAAAACTTAACAATAAATCTTAAGGTTTCCTCCCTGGCTAATTTGGCATTTTAACTTTCCATCGTTTTCTCACAAAGAAATTTAGACAGAACTGTAGTTGTACTGAATATTGATACCTGGGTACAAAAGGGTTATGAATATGATTTTATGGACCATATGGATGGCGTCATCACATTTTATTGCCCCAAATATAATTATCTTTAAAGTTATAATATGGTACTTTGGTACAAGTAACTGAAATAAAAATATGATTTTCATGTGCATAATGGTCAAAGCTACAAACGTACGTTTGCACAAATTGATATCTACTAATTATCCATAGTTATTAGAGAATAACCTAATTGCCTAATTAAAATCAAAATGACCACAAAATCATTCAAAACTGATTCAAGAATATGGAGTACTTAAAATTACAGATACATGTAACAATGCACACAAGTATTTATTACATTTATTACAATGGGGAATAAATTGTCCAAACTAATAATTTCTTGTCCAATCATGACCACAAAATCATTCAAAATTGCTCCATGAATACGTAGTAGAAAAACTTTTCCCATTTTGGGGTAATTTTTGGACACTACCGGAAGGGACAAGCAATCGGATCATATTCCCAAGTGGACATTAAGCCTTGGGTTGCATGTATGGTGGTGCCCTGGGCTTTACACCTCTGCATGTTAAAGATCCCACGGCACCTGCTGCTGTAATTAAGGATAGTAGTTTGCCCCTGCAGGGTCTTGCAAAATTCTCCAGGACGTTACGGCTTTAGGCCACACCAATTTAATTTGTTGATTCTCGGATTTGCCTCTTCATTATTTTCTGATTTGCAAAAAAAAAAGATTCTGGTTCTGAATCAACTCAAAAATGCTCAAATTTTGCCCCCAACAGTTGAGGAAAGTCCTTTTCTTCCTAGTTCATACAGTTTTTCCATCAATCAATTGCAGTGGTTTGATTAAAAGTTCAAAATTCATTGTTTAAATGTTGACCCAGCCTTTTGTGTTGACTTCACGGCTCCTATCGTAGCATTTGGGGCTATAATAGGATGCCAAGACCTGTTTTTATTTTTTATCTTTTCGCCCTGTTGCTTCATTTTATTTTATCCGAGAACCAACAAATTACTTTGGTGTGGCCTTACTTCCTTTTTTCTATCACCACACAGTATGGTGTGTTATGGTGTAGGATTTTCTCATTATCAAGCCTTAATTGAGATTGCGGTTTTGCAACAAGGATAGCAGCAGGAGATTTTCTATGAGTGGCGAGATTCTGATTGAACAATTTTGTCAAAATAAAGCACTGTAGGCGCATTGGACCTAGGGGGTCCAGGAATATTAACAATCTTATTATACCCAATAAATGCCATTTCCTGCATTTTAAGAGGCAAATAAGCTAATATATACCACATGCCAATTCTCTCTATTAAGGTACTGTACATTGGTCCAGAAACAAAATCTGCATGATGGCCATCGAAAATTTGGAGGTTAGTACTCTTAGGAGTACTAACTTAGGAGGGAGGCATCACTGAGAGAGCTAAAACGGATTCTACAAGACCCCAGCAACCCCTGCAATGACTTTATCCCACCAAGAGAGAACACTGTATATAATCTTAGGAAGAACAGCAATCAGTTTAAGCTCCCATTAAGCCGATCGGACAGACACAAAAACTCCTTCATTGTGAGAGCCGTAAAAGACTTGTGATGTGTATTAGACATGTATATATATATTGTATTTTAAACTGAAATTGTACTATTTTAACCTACGTGTTCTTGATGTTGATTTTTAAATGATGATGATGCTTTTAATATATTGTGGTGATGTTTGTATGTTGTATGATTGTAAAATGTCAATGCAATTCAGACGTGCCCGAAGTACTTCGGCACGTCTGCCATGTTGATATTTAATAAAGATTTGATTACTCTTACCCTTCAAAAACTTGTCACTGCTGAAAAAAAATTGTATCTATATTAATGTGACAAATGAATCTCTTCAACACAAATCTGCATGCTATTTATCTGAATCAGAGACACAATACTAATAATATTGTGTCCTTTATTGAGATAAATAGCATGCGGACTTTAGTATTACTACCGCCAGGTTGCTTTCAATCTACTTAAGAGAGTCATTTATAAGAAGCAGTCCTTGGTTTAATCAAAGTGCTCGTACAGCCACCAACATATCTTGCAGTGCCATCACTGGACAAGCTCTCAAAGCATTTAATCTTAAGGAATAAAAACCGTATACAAAAACAGAAAATTCTTTTTTTTTCTTATAGGGCAAATGTTTCACCAAAATATGAATCAATCTATGAATATGATGATTACTAGTATGGAGTAATAATTTAATTATTTACTTGGTCAAGAAATGTTAACGTCTGATCATTTTATTTCTATTTCATACTGAGCATTGCACCTACTTCTATAGCTTCAAGTAACTAGTAAGTAAAAGCATTTTCAGGTCTTCTGAAAAGGATTATTGACCCTACACTGAGTGTTGTCATTGTACCAAGGTGCCAAAAGCAAGCCTTTTCTTGAATTTTAATCTACTTTCCATGAACTTGCCATACATTGTACCTGTTACAATTGTTGTGCAATAAATTTTAATTGATTAATTGATTGTATTTCACACCTATATTCCTAGGGTTCCAGATCAGATCACATTAGATCTTAATTCCCTAAAAAAACGAACTACCTGTAGGTTTTCCGGCTACACCCAAGGCAATTTCAATTTATTTATTGAACCTGAGTAATTACAGTTCAGGCCATTTTGGCCTGCTTTTCAGGTAATCCTGGATACACATAAAAATACACACTGACAACAAATACACAGTACATAAACAATTACTAAATACAACATCCTAAACATCAACTGGATCAAGTCCTGCTCCTAATGATCTGTTTAAAAGTCCTGAGACTAAGGAGCTGTCGTTACTGTAGCATCAAAGGCTCTTCCATTTAAGGCAAACTTTAACTCGAAAATAGAGGATTTAACGTCGGTGGTATGATGCTCCCTGCTAGCTGAAAATATCGACTGCAAACCTTAGTTTATGATAAAAAAAATTAATGGTAAAAGAGGCAATAATTTCTCCTATAGATACATAAAAACTTACAGCAAGGCCGTTCAATCTAAAAGCCTTTCCAGATATATCATAACGCACACGCACCCCATGCTATATCCCTGTACGGGACCCCGCCCCCCATTCCAAAAATCACTTTCAGCAACAACCCACACATTTCGAACCCCGGAATACACGACATTGCACGCGACTTACCCGAGGTATTTTAACGGCAGCTCGCTCCCTGTAGCGTCCGTAGCCATCCTGGCCGCTTTTACCCGCACGAGGTTGCGTTGAACCGGCCTTACGTTGAGAATAATCCGCCTGACGTGTGCTGACGTCCCTCCTACTAGCGCAGCGGCCTGCATCCCAAATCACCTACCCGGAAGTAAAAACCGGAAGTCACCTGCGTTATTCACTTCCGGGTCAAATCACATGTTGTCCTTGGGCGACCGAAGTTTCAAGTTCAGAAATGCGATACTTTTAATTTTGTGTCGATTTTTTAGCATGTAACGTTGTATTCTTTATTGTATGGGATTGCATACTTATCAGAATATTGTTAGAGATTTGAGATCAGGCACATTTTGCTACAAGTTGATGATGCAATGGCGATTCCAATGCAATATCAAGGCGGCAAAAAAAATTCTAATTTGAAAAATATTCTAGATTTTGACTTCTCTATGATTTACTGCCATGTATGAGTACATTTTCGCCATCTCTTTTCTTTTTATACTTTTTATAAGCGTTTGAAATAGTCCCCCAAAACAAGGTAGTGAGGCGTCTCTTTATTTTTTGGTACCGCCCATACTGTAACGTTACTAGAACCAGCCTACGATACAAAACAACCAACCGTTTTCCGTCAGCGACATCACATTTTTGCCTCACAGATATCAGCATGCTATTGTGTAGGATTGATTCAACCTACTGCATGAAAATCGACCAGAAAATTACAGTTTTGCTGCCCAGAAATTGTACTGAATGATGCGATTGTTTGTCCGTGGGAGATGTCCTTGGTGCTGAAATGGGGATCCCTAATCCACTAACGTTATACTAAGTGCCGTCCGAATACATTACGGGTTTCGCGCAGATACAGTACGTTCTGCCGGGGTGCTTTTCTGTTTGTAGGCAGTAGGTAGGCAATGTCTAGGAATTATAGCATTTTGGCCGTTTGACAAACAATTCCATACATTTTATACTTGATAAACTACCTTCAATACCCTATATATATGTTGTATTTTCACATTCAATACCATCACTGGCTGTTTCTAAACTATAAACTAGAAAAGTAACATTTGCTAATGTTTACCTTCGCATATGGTCTGCTCTGTTAATTCTTACTCCAACACATCACATATATGGTGACAGAAGTCTAAATCCCTCCTACTATAAAATTGCAACATTATGTAACTCAACACCAGTTACCAGGGTGAGAGACAGTCTGGTTCAGTCAGGTCAGAGTTCAGTGTTTAGAGAAGAAGAAGAGGAAATGTAGCAAAAACAATATGTTTTCCTTCGGTAAACATAATAAAAGATGTTAAATCATACGTTTTATAATACTCACCTCGCTGTTGCTTTTATGTTTCTACATCGGCGAGTTAATAATTTATCTACGTCTTTTATACGAGCCCACCATAATCTTTTACATTAGCTTATATATGTTTGTAGAGTAATAAATTGTATGAAATACATAACAGTTATTCCATTATTGGAGCGGGTATTTTATATACCATACCCTTTGATGTTTGTAGACTAGGCGGCGTGTCCTTTTCTTTGACGCGGAGGCAACCAGCCGTTTAATTTCCTGTAATTAGTAGGGAGTTCATCTAAATTGCTCTTAAAGCCTTTCCGGGATAATTTACGGAGGTGTACCAGTAATAACGCCCTCGGAATTCTCGGTAATTTGAGGCTTGATTTTCCCGACGCATTTTACGTAACGTTATCTGTAGAGTCAGTATCTTTCCATCGAACTATACCAACTCAAGGCTGCTGGGCTACTCTCGCCTGGAAATCAGACTGTTTTCTGGGCCAAAGACCTATGGGCTGTAGCCTGGGTGCCAACCCGAGTAGTATGGTAAGCTAGCGACATAAGGGAGCGGGCGAATACTACGGGGGATGGCACCCAGGCTAGATGGGCTGCGATGTTGGCCCTAGATCCAAGAAACTAGCCTTTGTACACCCTTGAAACTGTCTTGTTTGCAGACTAGACTACTCTGTCTCTGAATCAGCCTGTGTTTCGGCCAAAACGCGGGCTCTAAATTCTACATATTGTAAATATATTAACACAGAAGTGCTGACGTTTTCATAAAATTTCCAGAAAGATACTGAGGCCTAGGATTCGGAACATATCAAAATGAAATATGATATACATGTAATATAAGTTAGGCCACACCGTCTTAATGTTATGAATGACATCCGCGCGCGCATTTAGTTTCGACTGTTAAAAAAAAAGATCACGTCCTCAGAGGCTCTGGCCTGGCTATAGGCCTGGGTAGTCCATGGTAGTTAGCGACAATACGGAGCCGGTGGTAACTCTGGAGGACGGCACCCAGGCTACCAGAGCTCCACGACTCAATAACTCCGTACATACGTGCGGTGCCGATTCCGCAAACGGCCAGCATGGGTCATACATATGTCGCCGTGTACTGCCGTGCAAAGTCACAATACCAGCTTTGTATTCCTGTGTTTCAGTAGCATTTTTATTTTTGGCCGGATTCTTTTTTTATTATTCGCCCGCGCGGGGTCTTCAGAGGATGTCATCTATAAAATCAAGTCGCCGGTGTCGCCTTAGGAGAGGAACAAAACGTGTAGTGCCATTTGGGTTATAGCTAAAGCCCTCCCCAAGTGTGGTCAAAAATGAAATTCGAACAACATTCAGGTCGTTTGGTACACTCGATTGTAACTCTGGGAACGTTTGTAACGGTCTGGGAGCCATTAAACCCTGGGAACGAGGCTTGACCTGGCCCCGGCAGTAGATTGGGGTGGTGACTCCGCTTGTATAACCTGTTCCACCCAACCGATCGTGACCTTGAGATATCTGAAGGACATTTCAAGGCATCCAATGCGATTTCAGGGCAGCAAAACTGGAAATATTCTGAATAAGGCAATCTTTGTGATATTGACACATATTGCTTCACATTGGCACATTTGAGTCAGTATTTCATACTTTGGGCTTTTAAAACGGCAGAAACAAGTCCCAATATGAGTCCTTTATTTTCTGGGTGGTACTAAAAAATCACCCAAGGGCCCTTCCAGTAACCAATTTCTGTCAGAATTATGGGAATTTTTGCTCCATGAGGGTCAATATACATTGGGATAGTGTGTTTTTAACTTAATTTGTAGATAAGTGACTAGAATATTGGCTGTGAAAAATCGGGTTTCCAAGCCCTAAAAACTGAACTGGATGCCTTTAAGAATTACGTTTTTTTTTTCAGTGATGCGTACGTGCTTTGACCCGACTTAGGCAAGGGAATATCCTAATCTCTAAGCAGATATTCCGATGGCTACAATATCAAATTGCAAGACAGTATCAAAATATTGTCATGCAGGGCGTATATCCTAATCTCTAAGCAGATATTCCGATGGCTACAGTATCAAATTGGCAAGACAGTATCAAATTGTCATGCAGGGCGTAAAACAAGATACCGGTTCAAAAATGAAAGGCCGTTGAAAACACGTCAAAAATAAGCCTAAGCCCAAATCTCTTTTAGCAGAGTAGGGATATCTTTTGGTGGCTGCAGTATCAAATTGGCAAGACGGTATCAAATTGTCACAACCAGGCAGTATCCAATTTGTTACCCGGTTGATGGCGTAAAAAAAAAAAATACAAAAACTAGAAAGGTAATATTTGCAAGGCAAATGCATAATGTTTATCTTCGCATATGGTCTTCTCTGTTAATTCTTTCTCAAACACATTCATATATAAAAAAGACATATGGTCATACAGGAGTCCAAATTCCTCCTGTTATAAAATTGCAACATGATGTACCCAACAGTAGTTACCATGGAAACAGACACAGCATTGGTTCAGGTCATTGAGGTCACTGTTTGGAGAAGAAGAGGAAGAAGAAACTGAGCAAAAACAATATGTTTTCCTTCGGTAAACGTAATAAAAGCCTGATGAAACGCCTAAATCCTGTCAAAAATACGTCCGTGCAGTCAAGTTTTTTTTCTTTTCTCTGTCTTGGTTATATCGGTAAAATTTAAAAGGCAAAATAATTTTGATGAGCAAGATTGTATTCTATCCATGGATGCAGAACAAGAAACAAACGCCTACACCCTAATTGCAAGAGCGTGTACATGTGAGCCCTACGGGTCGCAGCTTTTGGTACTGAATGCGTCCTGAATGTACAAATAAGGAGATATTGTTGCAATGTTGGCGAGCGCCTCACTGGTCTTTTTATACACCATGTATTTTCGTTCTCTTGAAAACTGTTACTACACATCCATAAATGCCCGTCCTCTTCAGATTTCAATCGTGCATTGAAAATAAAAACGTGCTTTTGTTTTGATAAAATTGTATTGGATATGCTTACAGGGATTCTTTTGAAAATACATCCGTTGTGCATGTGATACGTGAAGACATATTGGTTCAATTTGCAACGCTACATACATGTAAAGCTACATGTATAAAGCCACAGCAAGTAAATTTTATGGATGACATTCTCCGCAGACTCCAAATCTAATGCGAGCGGGCGAAAAAAAAACAAGACGGGCCGGAAAAACAAGGTTCCTACATTTTAAAATTTTGACTCAAACATTGTAAAAATGGTTTTGATTCAGTGGGAACATCACATATACACAGCCAGCATCACATATCACTGCATCACATAGGAAAAAACAAAACATTAAATCAGGGTCTTTTCTTGTCTCCTCTCTTCATAGTTATCTGCCATCCACCTTCCGGCATGACAACAGACATATTTGCCGATTTGCGTCATGTTGACCATTGTCAAAAGGCAGCAAAATTTCTTGTTTTTTTTTTTTCAAAATCAGGCGAAAACTCATGCGCGCGCTGATGTCATCCATAACTTGCTGTGGCCTAAGGCGATAATTCTGTAACATATGGCATGCCCGTATCTTGTAAGAATCCTTAGATGCAACGCTTCATAGAAAAAAAGGTCTCCCCGTAGGCAATGGAAGCGATATTTCTCTCTTATCTATGTTATTACTTTTGTTGACATTATTACAAGGGAAGTAAGGTGGATTAACTGAAACAACCCAGGGCAAGAACAGAAAGTACATGACATTAAGATCTACTGTGACATGACAGAAGTTGATAGTACATGACTATGTAATGATTAACTTTAGTCCACACCAATTTAATTTGTTGGTTCTCGGATTTTTCAGACAAAAGCGACAGGGCGAAAAAAAATTAAAATTAAAACAAGTCTCGGCATCCTATTATAGCCTCAAATGCTACAATAGGAGCCATGAAGTCAACACAACAATGAACTTTGAACTTTTAATCAAACCACTGCATTGATAGATGGTAAAACTGTAACAACTAGGAAGAAAAGGACTTTCCTCAACTGCTGGGGGCAAAATATGAGCATATTTTGAGTTGATTCAGAACCAGAATCTTTTTTTTTTTTCAAATCAGAAAAAAAGGAAGAGGCGAATCCGAGAACCAACAAATCAAATTGCTGTGGCCTTATTCCAAGCTGATTGTATTTACATGAAATATAAGTTGATAATATGGCATATGTACATGATGAAAAGAATGTTAAACGTTGATATTTCAGACAAACCTTAGGAAATAAATATATGTCTCAACCTAATTTTGGCACTAAAATCACCCAGAAGTAAACGTTCCGTCTTTTCCATTTTGAAAGGCATGCGCAGTTCCACTGAAAGCATAAAAAGGTAATACAGCAAAGTATAAGGATCGAATCTTCTGACCCTGTCATAGAGCTAAAGGTAGTTGTTTCCTCAAAGATTGAACATTTTCTGCACTTTCAACATCAGCTTCTAGGTGGCGCTTTGAGACTGCCGTACTGTAGACAGGCGAAACAGTCAGAACCTTCCCCCCGAACACCAGCCAAACAACTTCGGCTGAAATTCGGGAACAGCTAGTCTGACCAAATAAAGGCCACGCCTACCTTTTTTATACGTATTGCATCGAGTTACCAGTAATCTCTCTGAGTCGAATTTCACTGCCAACCAACCACGCCCGACTTACTCCCGAACGTCAGCCAACCCTTCAGCCAAACATGGCCGAACCTTCCGTCCATAGCCGAACGTTTTCAACATTTTGAAACAATCGGCTGGCGCTGCCGAACAGTATAGCCGACCCAGCCGAACACCAGCCGATCTAACTGACCTTTCTGACAACCTACTCCTCATGGTTGGGATGAGTTCGGCTAGTGTTCGTGAGACCATATTCGACTACTTGCGACAGGAGTTTTGCCCCAAGGCACACGGGTGATAGAGCTATCGCTGCCAACAGGTCGACGGTGTTTCCACTTTGGGAAACAGGCCAAAGTGTTAATCAATGCATGCTGTAGTCACCCCGTTCACTCAACCTTCTCTGACCCTCTGCATAGCTGGTTTGTCTTAAAACTGCCAAAATACAATGCCGATGATCCAGAGATGGCGACTACTAGATTTTTGCTGACCGCCGGAACGGTCGTGCTTGTGTTGGGTTGGACGGTGTGGTCAGTTTCAGGCTTGCAAGAGGTGAGGGTTTGAAAAATAAGTACAAAATAAGACTGCGTTAACTTATCTAACCAATGCAAATGACCGGCTTAAAGTTTTGCTTACGCGAATTGTTTCTCTGCATGTCAATGTACTACAGTACTGCCTAGAAATCTGATATAGCTGGATAGATATAGAATATATACAAAAGTAGTGGAGTAGAAAATTTGGTCTCTATCTTGACCAATAATGAAGAAATTGATACATATAGCAGTAAAAAAATGCAGACCAAGGGTTATGTAAGAGTTTGTGGTAAAACAAGAACAATTTCTTATATCCCATTCTTTAACAGAAGGTTATGCATTTCTCCATTACCACTACTTTTCGTCATCCACCACTTTTTACTGATCAAAAGTAGTGGATACTACCTGAAACGTCTGACGGTTTCTTAAAACCTATCCAGTTGCTTGAGTATACCAGTTTCCTTGTGCAAAGTTTCACAATTCCTTATAGTTTAAGAAGCGGTACGCTGAGGGTTGGTTATTCTTGGCACATCGTCTTGGCTCTCACCGAAGGTGACGATAAGCAGCCAAGAATCTTGAAGAGTTACACATGTAAGCCAAGGTCATATGCTCCCTTACTTGACCTTGACCGAAGGTAAACATTATGCATTTCCTTTGCGAATGTTGACTTTCAAGTTCAATATTGTTGTTCTCTTTCCCTAGTTGCCGTCGTGGCCGAACGTGCCTGTCCGGATTCCTTACCTCCCCGCCAAACTACAGTGTCTGGACCACGCTATCAACCATGTAGGTAACAAGAGTTAAAGGCATCCAAGGGCAGCAACAAAACAAAAAAAAGAAATATCCTGGATTAGGAAATATGTTTGATATTGACATTTACTGCCATTTTGTAGCACATTTTCGGCCCATAAATAGCCAGAACCAACCTTTGATACAAAAAGCAAACGTTTTCTGTCTGTGACATTGCATTTTTGCCTCACAAATATCAGTGGATATTGGATAAGATTGATGCAACTTATTACATCAACTACATCAAAAGAATGATCAGAAAATCACTCTGAAACTGCATTGGGTGCATATTTAACATCTCTTCTATACGTACATACCATATTGCAAGGCATGTTATGTCCATTTGGTCAATTTTTACTCTTTCCTTGTACTCTTCTGAAGTCTGATAGAGGCTAAGCGAAAAAGCACCATATTTTACTAATTTGTCTGAAGTCGCCTATTTTGCAATTGTCTATTTTTTTCTCAGTTAGGAACATGTCGGCCTTTCCCCGGGATGTCCATAGCGCTAGTAAAGGACGGAGTGACGGTCCTGGCGCGGGGTTACGGGTACGCGGATGTGAAGAAGCGGTGGATGGCCACGGACCGGACCATGTTCGGTATCGGCTCGGTCTCAAAGTCCTTCACCACCGCCCTCTTCGCCTCGCTGTTCGCCGACGATGATTCCAGGTTCGATTTCGGCACGAAAATCAAGGTACGCGAAGGTATCAATCAGTACCTTGGTAGTACTTAAAAGTTAATTTAATAAAAGGCCTTCCCGAGACCATCGGCATAATCGCTTAGGCCATTTTGATTTGATTATATGAATGACATCCGCGCACGCATGAATTTTCGGCCGTTTCAAAAAAAAAAAAAAAAGATTTCAACTATACTGTAAATCGTACAAAACAGTTGCAAAATCAGCAAATCTATACCGTAAGTTGCAAAAAAATATTGGAAAACGATATTAATGTCGTAGAATGCCTAAATCAAACGAAAAAGACAAAAATGTTAGATGAAATGAAGAGTAGATTATTCGCCATACCATACTCTGTGTCATTTGTTCAACTTATATGGCCACGTAGATTTCATAATGAAAGCAACTTTTTTTTGCCAAACTTTTTTTATTCGCACGCTCGCATCAGTTTTGGGGTTCCCAGAGGATGTCATCCATATAATCAAATCAACATGGCCTAACCTTTGATTCCAGGACATTCTAGGACCTGACTTCCGTTTCCGGGACCGGTTCCGGACGGAGGAAATGACGTTGGTGGACCTACTTGC